ATAGATAGATAGATAGATAGATAGATAGATAGATAGATAGATAGATAGATAGATATCAGCATTGTTGCTTCTGTTTGCATCTATGTTTTTAAATGCTGCTTTACTTGAGCACGTTGGCACGAACATGCAGATGGAATTATCTAGAAAAGTAAACTATTACTTCTACTTGTCCATAGCATAAAGATTATTATATATTAGAAATGTTTTACCGATTCTGAGCTCCCCGGGGTTGCACGTTCGTACTTTTCCTATTCGAAAGAGACGAAAATAAGAAAGAGACCATCCTTTCTTAAGCTGAAAATCCACTTTTTAATGAAACAGAAGAGAAAAAAAATGCGAATGGCATCACGGCTCTCTTTCCTTCAGGTTTTAGTTCTTGTTTTCGTTGTGACTAGAGGAGGGCAGTAACATATGTAATTGTACCATACACACCATCATGTGAACTAAGATCCAGTGGCTCTAGACTAATTTCAACACCTCGTGTGTCACTGAAGAAATATTGTGAGAGCTTTTTCTTTTTCTGGGCCAACAGTTTGGAACACTCTACCTCATGATTTGAGGAGCGAAATAAAACTTGATACTTTCAAAAGGGGACTCAAAACACATCTATTTAAGAAATATTTTAATTAATGGACAGTACCTTTGCCTTTTTGTATGAGCATTTTTTTAAATTGTCTGAAAGAATGTTGCTGTCAAAAAGTGCGCACATGATGAATTTGTATGGTGTTAGTACGAATGCGTTTTTAATCTCCTATGTACGCCTTGGGCCCATGCTGTGGGGAAAGGCGGGATACAAATGCTCTTATTATTATTAATTTGAGAGGAGAGTGACAGTCTACCTGAAACCAAAAAACAGCCTGTTGGGACCACACTTTGCATGTTGGTGGGTCATTACTTTTCTGAAACGATGCTTGCCTCAACCTGACGGAGAACCCAATTAGCTATGCATTATTTCTGATGGGCAAGCTTCAGATTAATCTGTGCTTATGGACGCACCCCCGAAGAGCCCATAGTAATTCAAAGTCATCGGGGATCATAAAGTTCCTAATGTGTTAAATAAAAACACAATCGGGCATCAACAACGTTGTCAACTGCATGCGCCTTTAACTTGAAATGTGGTTGTTCCTATTGTTATAAAATTATGTTGTTCATCAGGGAACCATATTAGTTTTTAAAATGTTTTCACGGTGAAAGGTTTTTCGTTTCACACTCTCGAAAAAAAGCTTTAAAAATGTTGCCCCCTTACCC